TGGCTATCATATTTCAATGAAAATATCCATTTTGACCGCTACCGAATGCAATTTAACAATGTTTTTGCGTGACATCTGTACGTAAGGACAAAATAAAGGACTTTTTTTCTCCAAACGGATTATAAAATTGATTTAAAATGGATTCAGAAGAGATGTTTTTGTGACGTCGGTACGTACATACGTATGTATGTATAACTCAAAAATGAGGAACTTCAGAACGTTGAAATTTTGTGTATAGGACTACTATACGATGTAGTTGTGCACTCCCCTTTTTGGTTGGAATCGGTAGCACTAAAAGTATATATATATATATATATATATATATATCCACTCCGTTACGCAATTCCGTAAGCTCTGTTTTTAATCTTATATATTGGTAAATTGTGCATTTTTTGCTTGAATTATGTTGTTCTTGTCTTCCGGTTAAGGTTTTTATTCCTTTAGTTAATCTGCATGTAATAGTTGTAGAATTATCAACAATTTAAAAGTTGTTTAAGTGCGGCTAAGCCTAATTTTTTTTTAACATAGCAGTCATATTTGTTTACGTTTGAAACTTAGCAGAATAGTAAATTAAGTCAGTTTCTGCACCTTCAGTGTCTTTTTGCCGAGTGGAATTAAAAGTAAACTTTGTGCAACGAAATAGCTGCCTTCTTGTATGCTGGCCACATTGTTTGTTTTTGCTTAGAAACTCTAATTTTAACTGTAAAAATTGTTTTTTTTAAAATTATTTTAACTGTATTTGGTGTTTTATGTTTTCCTATATCTTTCAATTTTTAATGAAGATATTTTATGTATTTTTGCATTACCACGAAGTGAGAGCTGAATAAATTGAATGAGAAATATATCTCTAATTCGAGGAAATAAGTTTAAATTAGATGCAGGAAAAAATGCGTCTAATTTAATATTCCGTACAAGGAAGTCATATGGTGTACACATCAGATTTTTTTAATTCACTAATATGGTAATAAGTCATTATAAAACCGTAAAATTCCTTTATAATAATTAAAAACTGCGATTTATTGTGTAAAAAACACTCATGATAATTTTAGTTTCGTAATTTTAACATGGTGTTGTAAAGTTTTCTAAATACTAATGAAGGCTTTAAAATCCTTCATTTTCTACTTTTTCTTGCCCCATTTAAACTAGGACATCTTCTTTCATTCTAGGCTATGAGATAGCAAAATCTAGAATCTATCAAAAAAACCTTTCGTTGTCTTCTTCCAAAATATATTACTGTTATATACGTGCTTTCATTTTCTGTAGCAGCAGCTCTAAATGTGTGTTGTATGTTATATACTTTGTTATGATTAAAATGCTTAAAACCTATTTATTTATGAAGTAGATAGGTTATAGTTAATATAACAGTATACAAAATTCGTAATAGTAAAAATATGTAATAATTATTTCAGTTTTCTCAGATGAATACTAATTAATATCTGTAACTAATAACTATTTTTCAAACACACACGAGTAGCACCAGTTTCAAAAATGAAATTGCATTTTTTATATTTCGATATGTTAATTTTATATATATTTTTAAGTTCAAATTATTATTATTACTATTATTTACTTTTTACGAATTGTAGAAATCCTAAAATTTTCATTTAAATTTATTTATGTTTTATTTCATTAAAATGATGGAATATCTGTGAAATATTAAAAAACATATGCACGAAAAAGCATTAGTTTATAAAATAAAACTAGTGATTCGGTATTTGCTGCGATTATGTTTTCAATAGTTAGTTAAAAAGCTAAATGTTACGCGTTTATTCGCCATAAGAGTATTGAAATCTACATCATTCAAGTTCTGATTCATTGTCTCTGAATCTTGCCTTGTCGATTTCTTTTTATCAATAATAAAAATCTTAAAATCACATCTACGAAATGACTCATTATCTTTTAAAATGACATGATCTCTAACTAACTAACAGGAACTTATTTACTGTAACGCGATTTTCAGAAATTCTATCAGAAAAGTGCATTGATTAATAAACAATCAACAGTATAGTGCGAAAAAAATATTTTAATTTTTAATTTTTTAAAGGATCTAACGATCTATCAAAAAGAGAATTTTCATACTTAAAAAAGGATTGTTATAATTTTGAAGGCGTTAGAATATTTAAACGTCATCTAAAACGTGAGAAATATTTAAACAATGTTAATATAATTCTGTCATATTGCAGAATATTCCCAGTTCGCTTTAGTCGCATAAAATATATTTCGTAAAAGAAAAAAAAAATATTTTCTGACTTCTGTGTAGATTATCTGTCATTATGCCCATTGTACATATTAAAAATATTCATAATTTGTAATAAGTAATTATAGCATTCAAAAGTATTTTTTATATTCTAAAATAGTTTTGCTTTGATGTTATTTAACTTTTAATAATAATATAACAAAACTACAAATTTTCACTCTAATTTACTGATTTCAGTGGAAGAGAGTTTTAATTTGCATAGAACTTTTGTAAATGAAAGTCTTCATTTTTATTACTCTATTGCTAATGATTTTATGAGCAATTATAAGTACAGGCATACCTCAAGAAACTGTAGGTTGGATTTCACGCTCTACAGTAAGATGGATTACGCAACAAAACTTGTCAAATGAATTTTTAGCGTCCAAATATCCGTGTTTGAAATTTGAGAACTTTTCCTTCGCATTTGCCAAATGTATAGATTTTTAATTCAAAACCTAGTCTTCTGATCCCAATCGTAGGCGTGCCTTTATAAAATTAATTATTTTAAGCTTTAGATTTGCAATGAAAGTAACGATGTTTTCATTAGTTTACAGCATTCATATAACGATAATAGTACCATTATTTAATTTTCGTACTACTGTTTAATCGTATTATTACTTAATATTCATATAAAAAGCAAACGAAATTGCGCTAGGTAGGTAATAAATAGCATTAGAAACATTCACTTTATAAGAATTAGGAATTACAATAATGCATTTTAATTTGAGTCAAATAGACGTATTATTAAAAATAAAATCAAGAATGTAAAGAAACATTCACTTTTAAGACACTTTATTAATTTTATTGCTTTTAAGTTACTCAGTTTATTAAGAAATTTCAGACTTATTAAATTTTAAAGATATATTACGTTAGGCTGAATGGCAGTATTCTGAGAAAACTCTTTATACATGAGGCATGTGGAAAATAAATTAAACAATTTATGTTTTATTTAATGATAACTTTTACCAAGGCGAGTAATGTAAAATAATGTTATGTTCAAACGCCAGAATTTAAGAAAGACCTCGCTAAGTACATTTCACTAAATGTCACTAATAAGATACGCGTTTATTGATAATTTATATGGGATAGAAATGTTTTCAATTTGAAACAGAAATGAAAGATTTGTAATTTTTCAAAATGGCATCACTCTGCGAACTGACTATGCCAGAAGATAAACTGACGACTTTTAAACTGACGACTTATTTCGCATAGTGGAACAATAGTCAAGGCGAGTGAATGATATATGGATAGTCGAGAAACATAATTATTGAAAAATCTTTGGAACGACTTTGAAAAATTGTGCTAGATGAAAAGGTTTTAAATAACGCAAAATTTAACAGTATGTGCATGAAATACACGGTGTTTATAAAGTCTCTATACATTTTTGAGAAATATATTATAATTGCAATTCCTTTGGAGACCTTCTGAAAGAATGCTGTCAACAGAGGAAAGAATAGCCGTTGTTTGTGCCCGTACACGTGAATTAACGTACCAATAGGTGCAGAAGGACTTCGCCCGCAAATTCAAAAAACAATCCCCTGCAAGAGCAGATATTAAAATTTTCGTGAAAAAATTCAAGTAAACTGGTACTGTTAAAGATAAAGACCCATTCTGGGAGAACTTCGACAGCGTCACAAGTTCAGCAAAGTGTACAAAAAGCGATTACGCGTAGCCCTCAGGCATCTACACCAAGACTGAGCCAGGAACTCGGTATTTCGCATACTACTGTTTCGAAAACTCTACGCTGTTATTTAGACAAGCATCCTACCACATTCAAACTGTGCATAAGCTTGAAGCCGAGGATTATGCAGCTCCGCAAGCTATGTTTTATGATTTGTTGAAAGCTGTATAGAACGAAATCTTAATGGAGAATGCTCTCTTTAGCGGCGAAGACACATTCCATCTCAGCGACCATGTTAATAGGTATATTTGCCAATTTTGGGCTAATGAACAACCAAACGTGTTATACGAATCTTAGCGAGATAGACCTAAAGTTAACCAGTTAACTGTGATTGACGAGTATACTCGTTATGGAGACGCGACACGATTTTGTGTATTGACGAGTATACTCGTCATGTGTATATTATGTTAATGAAATGGAAAGATAAGAGGGAGGTTTATTTAGTAAGTTCTATACATAATGACAACGTAATAGAAACAGAGAAAAGAATAATAATAAGAAAGAAAAAACCGGAGCTAGTGATTGATTATAATAAAAAAATGGGTGGAGTGGATATGAGCGATGGAATTATCATAGCGTACCCCACAGCAAGAAAACGACTCAGAAAGTACTACAAAAAGACATTTCTCCATTTCTTAAACATTATGTGTCTGAATGCATTCATATTATATAAAAAATAATGGAACATTATCGTGTATCACGTTTTGCTCAAATTTATTGAAGACACTTTTGCGACGTATCCAATTAAAGAAATAAATCGACACAAACTAGGCCATTTAGACCTAATATAAGCCAATTAGGCGGGAATCATGTTCCGGATTATATACCCGGAACATCGAAAAAAAAAACAACAACCCTACGCGAAAGTGTTCGCATTGTTACAAACGTAAGATCAGGAAGGAATCGCGTTACTGGTGTTCGATTTGCAAAGTCTCATTGCGTATAATACACTGTTTCGCTGAATATCACTCCACAGCAGGAATTTAAATTCTTACTTTTACATGTATACTATTTAATTTAATTTATTGCGTTTTTACTTTAATATATATGTAATGTATGCTTATGTTAACCAAATAAGTAAATGTTAGTAATAAAAGTTTCAATTTTATAAAATAAATCCATCTTTTTCATCCAATATCTTACCAGCGCAACTTACTCTGTGATTGGAAAATATACTCGTCATGGCTCGATTCTGGCGACACAAAGCGGTGCGCACTCTGAAACGAGAGCGCCACAGTTAACTTGTTAATGTATGGATGGAGAATAACTAAACTTTGTGGAGCTTTTATGCTTGCAGAAAGGACCATCACTGGAGAAATTTATCTCGATATGTTGCCACAGCTAGTATCAGATGGCATTATTGACACTGTTGTCCACCAATAGTATGGGGCATCTCCATATTTTTCCGTGGCTCTCAACGGCTTTGGGCTGCACGATCACCAGATAACTCTCCTAGACTTTTTCGTATGGAGTTTTGTCAAATCCAAAGTTTACCGAGTGAAGAATGGCAGCATTGAATAATTAAAACAGCGAATTATGGCTGCCGCAACTGAAATTACACAACTTTATATAAGGTGTTCTAGAGTATAGTGGAACGGTGCCAATTGTAGCTAGAAACTCGGGGAGGGGGTACATGTTCTATTATGTTGCATTTTCATGTAAATAATTTATATTTCAGAATAAAAACTGTTTAAGCAAAAATGTATAGAAACTTTACAAACACCCTGTATAGATATTGTAATATCCCGAAAAAAGAGAATTCACGAGAATGATAATAGTTTTAAAAGTAGATAAAATTATATCATAGTCTTCTGGAGATTCAAATAATAAATCACTCAATATTTAGAAGCCATCGTATGACTTATTATTTACCTTGTTTCAACACTGTTTTAATAATGAAACTATCTGAAATATTATGGGATTTTCTAGATTTATAATACATAAAAGGAACAATCGTGGTTGTTAAAACGATTCTTGTAATATGTATCGGATGGTTTAAGGGAGTGCAAGAAGTATTCAGTTTATGACGAAGTCTCAGTGTCTGTAAAATAAGGTATGCCTGTACCTGTAGACACATAAAAAACACTTAATTTGTATAGGATACATACAAAATAGATATCTAATTGCTGTAGAAGGAAAAAAATATTATGAATGACGTATTAATTTTTAATGATTATGTTGCTTTCAGCACATAAAGAATAAATCAGACTGGATTATTAGCGAAAATATGCACGTTACTAAATAAAATTACAGACACAAAGGCAGCTGCAAATTCGTAACAGTTTTTATAGTATTCACAATTTTTACTAATAACATCCAACATGCACTTTGCATTATAGGTGATTGTTTTATATTGTTTTAAAGGTTTAATTTGATTTTGCTCCATAAATTCAAAATAATTTTAATCAAATCACAAAAAATTATCTCTTTCATAAAAAATATTTTCAGTTTTTCTGAAAGAAAATTTAGTAGCTATTTCAGCATTTTGTTTTCTACAAAATCCATCCTACAGATATCCTCAAAACAGCTGAGGTTTGCAGGTTTTAATACATAATATTAAATGTACAGATAACATCACAGATTATATAGAAAACTTTCTCTAGTAATATAAGCTCTGTGAGTAATAATTAAGAGGAGGCATTGTTGTATAGAATGTTCACATCATCAAAATAAATATTTCGTTTATCTTCTGTTAGTGATATAGGCAGTTATGATAAGATCCATTTGGTGGTGCTAATATATTAGCAAGTAGGATATAGTTGTGAAAATGTCAGTAGTGCTCATACTTCCTTGAGATACTTGACAGGACATGCATATGTCTTGTCATTAGCACCAGTTCGGATCATAACCATACCATCCTTTTCATCTCCAATTTGAATAATAATCTGAAACATACAAAGAAAACTATATAACGAATGGACGAATTGTAACTTATAAACAAGAGAGAAATTATGGTATACTACTTATATGATTATCCCTTATAAGAATGTATTGACAAGAATTCGGGTTTAATTTTTTTTTCCTGCAATCGCATCAAGTCAGAATATGCGTATTTACTTGTAAGGAATTTCCCTTTTCCTTACCGTCGTGTAAGTAGTAGCACGACCAGATAGCAGTGCGCTAGATTTCGGAGTTCGAATCGTGAAAAGAGCATTGCTGATTTTTCATGTTTCCTGCTTCAAATAAGTATTTAATCGCTCTCCAGTGATACCGAGCACGGATTCAAACTTTGGACGTTCAGATTCCCAGTCGGACAGGTTGTTAATTTCAGCATGAAGGCACATGATGAGAAAGATAAACATTCCTCCTTATAATCCCCCAACTAAACAGCGTTTGGAAAGGGTGAGCACCCAGTCGCCAAGCCCAGGTGGCCGCAAATCATAGCCAACTACCGGGTGCCATTGTAGACTGATTTACTCATAGAATACTTTTGAAGACAGAAAACATAAAAATCGGACGTATCTTTGCCAGGATTCAAATTCTGAAATTTCCAGTTACTAGTCGGACGTGCTACCAAATAAATACACCACAAAGACATATAATAAGGAAGGGAAAATTAGGAGGCTTAGGAAGGGTGAAGTCAATTGCTAAATCCAGATGGTGACAAATTATCGTACACCACATGTTAGTCATGAGTCACTGTAGAGTCTTTTATAGTTTTTGGAGCAAGGAACTTGAGATTATTAGCAGTGCTGTCCCCGGGATTCGTATAGACCAGATTCAGGGTCTATACTAGCCGAACGTGCTCTTAATTACATCATGGAAACGGCTTTGGGCTTTGAGGAAGGATCAGATTACTTTTACAGTAACTGCCAATATGCTATTTTACGTAATTTTCCTGTTGTGAATATGTTCTATAGAATTGCGTGAATTAACGTGATTTTCTGTCGGGATTTACATTCCAACGGATCTTTTTACTTTCTTTTGTCTTTGCTATTTTTCGTTCGATCTTGATTTTTTTCGGGCTGTCCTATTTTATAGAGATTTTCATCGTAGTATATTCCTTCTGCTGTTCACGCTTTCTTCGGTAAGTGAACAGACGTTCCGGATTCTGTTCCACTTCTTAAAGGGAACAGTGGTTCCGGACTACGAGGGACAATCAAGCGTTACAAGCCAATGTTCTGTTTTCTGTAGCTGTCTCGCATTCTGTTAATAATCTCAAATTTTGAAAATATAATGGACACACATTTTGTTAATGCCATTCCACACAATCTTGAAGATGCTTTTATGGGGTAAAAATGTACCGAATAATGTAATAATCGAACTTTTTATATGCATTTTAGGGAACTCGCGCAGGTTCCACAAAAAGATTGGTCTGTGAAAGCACTTCCGGATATCTATTCCAGCTGCGCTTTGCTTTGAAATTGCACATGGAAGTTAAATGGCTAGTATTCACGTTGCACACGGGGAAAACTAGGAAAGTCAGCCTTGACGCCAGTCCGTTTGCATGGGTTCAAACCCAAGTCAAACCCTCAGTGCTCAGGGTCTTAAATATTCGGATACGACCAGGCTCGAAATTATTTTGAGCCCTTGGGTCTGTTTGTGTAAGTTTTAGTGTAACACGTGACAAATGATTAAGACCAACTAAGTGTTGAAATGACTAAGTGACCAACTAATTGTTTAAAATAATAAAATTACGCTTCAAAGAAATTTTTAATCGCTAAAATAGTTTTGTCACTTATTAAAATTTAAGAAAGGCGATGAAAAGTAAATTTAAGAAATGCTAGCATAAGTAGTATTAGTAAAATCTGGTCAAAATCTGGTAAAATCTGATATAAAATTATCGTATTTTCGCCATTCGTTTCCATGTTGATAAAGAACTATTCGATGGTTTCAAAAGCTTAAGATCTTTCACATTCCGGCTAGTGTCTATATATTTTGGTATTTCATTTCTGGCTTAATACATCCAATTTTCCTTTTACTTTTCAATTCCCGAAGTCTACTGCCATTGGTGAGAGATTAACAGACGTCTATATAAAGTAATATAGCATTTAATATTTTAGAGAAAAGTTGTGTTCATCGGAAAATTAACCATGTTCACATATTTAGGTGCATGCATTCACTGGGATATGTATTATTATTAACGTGTTTCGCCCTAAGGCACTATACGAGAGGGATGCCTTCGTGGAGGACTTTCTAAGGAAACTTGCTCTATTAACACGTTACACATGGGGAAAACCAGGAATACGCCCATGCAGCCAGCTCGTTCGTGGAATTCGAACCTCGAACCGAACTACCAGTGTTCAGGGACTTTACCGCTCGGCCCCTGGTGGGTCCACTGGAAAAAATAATTTTTTTTTATCTTAGCTATCTATTTACTGCGACAGGAAAAAAAATCAGAATTTTTTCGATAAGGTGCTCCTGAGCACTAAACTAAGATAAGAAGCAAAGACAAATGTTCAGTTTTAACTTAAGAGATGGAACGAGAAAAGAAGTTGAAAGATAGAAAAGATGGAAAGAGAGGAAAAAGTTCGCAAAACAGTTCACGAAGAAAAGCAGTAGACGTCGTGATATTGGCAGCGATGAGAGTTGGCATGTCTTAACGATCGCTAATTAGCTAGAGATATCCTTTTACTTTCCTCAGGGCATGGATCAAGGACATTACGACATAACATTTACGATGGTGTGAGTACAGGAAAGGTGAAAGAAAGGAGATATAATGGAAGAATTCGGCTCCCCATCTCAGAAAATGTTAACGTTTTTGAGGTGACAGGGGACAGATATATGGAACAATTTTGAACAAGACGCACTAATTTCTGTTGCCATATTTTAAAATCTGTTATCGTTTCTTTAAGGAAAAACAAAAGTCTATGAAATTAGAGTGTTTTAATTAAAATAACGCAAGCTGATACCCATAATAAGCAAAGTTTATGCTTGATTTGGATTATTATATTATGGCAAAGCACGCGAAGGCTATTTGCCTAAGAAGAGCGATGTCTTCGAGGAAGACTTTCTAAAGAAAATTGGCTTGTATCCACACTATACAAGGGAAAAACAAAGGAAAAGTCCATGCCTTCACGTTTCCCAGTTCACTGTGGAATCGAACCCAAGTCGAAGTTTCAAGAAGTAAGTTCTCAAGTTTTACAGCGAATTGAAACAAATTTAACATGTCATATTAAGTCTCTAATTTTTGACTCCAATGAGTAATTATTAAAAATGCAGCTTCAAGATGAATATTTTAATCGATATCAAACAAATTTATTTTTTCATTGCATTATAATTTTAGTTCACATGGATGTATTTTTAATAAATTTAAGAAATGCGAGCATAATTTGTGCTATGCACGTAACTTAATTATGAAAACCTGCAGCCGTCATTTAACAGGAAATACAAGGCTGATAATGCATATCTCCAAAGCAAAAATAAAACTAATTTAAAATTCCAAACTGTTTCATGAATATCATATTTGTACTGAAGGAACATATTCTTTTCATACTATTTTCAAAGATATTTATTTTGTACTTTGTAATATTCTAGCTAAACTAAAGTTCCTTGTAAGCTAGGAAACTAAAGAACTATTCGCTGAGTTCTTGTCACGTGAGTTAACGAGTTCAAAGAGGGTTAAATAACCTTTTTATTTCAACCCAAAATAAATGAACAAATGGCTCCTCTCGGGCGTACAATAAGCCTCCACTTGGGCTTTAACTAAAAATAGAAAATATAAAACTAACCTAAGAGTAAACAAAATTAAGAAGCCGAAGCTGCACAGAATCAACTAACTCATTTGGCCCTTGTCAAAGTTAGACGGCGTAAACTATCAGGCATGTAGAAGCACGGCCATAGAACAATAAGTTTAGACTAATAGCAACAATGTGGCCGAAATGCAGAACACGCTCTCCTACTGAAGTGACCCAGACTTCAGAGGGGTGAGAGGCTCTCGGACTACCCCCCCCGGGGTGCTCTCAAAACTGAGGCGGAATGTAGAATTCCAACCTCTTTGAGGCTGCGGCAACCAAACTTCCATGAAATACATGGAGAGGAAAACACAGAATGAGCAGCTGTTCCGTCTGATAAACAGCTTTTTCTGCTCATTTAGCAGCTATTATTTTTTAAAAAGTAACAGAATAACATTACAAAAGTAAAAATATTATCATTAAGATTGTAAGCCACGTTTGTGACTGCTACGTACGTTAATAACATTCATAGGTAAACAATTATAAATAAAAATGCGAATTATACTGCTTTGAAATTGTCGCTGTTTAAAATAAGATAGTTCATAGGAGTCTGAAGAATCTGGCAAAGAGATTTATTCCTAAGAATCTGCTGAAGCCATTCACGAGCATTGTTTATTGTATAGGGCCAAAAATGTAGATCTTTGGTTATTTGACACTGAAACAAGTAGTGGTCTAATGTATGTGGTAAGCCACAAAAGCAAATGTATGTATTATTTAGCCCGAAACGACTAAATAAGTAGGACACAAAAGGTCCATTAGCTGTCAGAAGATAAGTCACTGTAATATTTGTAGGAACTAATTTACGTGAGGGGATGCGTAAGAAGATAAATGTTCTTTTTCCAGTGACTTCTTGTGACCATAAAAATTTCCATCTTTTTCTAAAGATCTTTTTCTAAACGAGATTTTAAGTAAGAAATTGGATTAGGCTAGGAAATAATTGATGTTAAAATACTATTTGAATCTTCTAGTGCTTGCTGATCAGCGATGTCTTTACATGGACAAGACAACATTTGTTAATAAAACAAGTGAAAGAAAAATAGGCATTACTTGTTCGTTAAGAAGTTTGACGCTATTTCCGCCGTCATTTAGATGCACTGTGTGAATGACTTGTAATGGCTGTTCACCAGAATGTAGCTTCGTCACGTATTTTGATGGAAAGTATCCAATTTTTCCCATACATTTTCCCTATAAGAAAGAGCAAGCTTATGCAACAAATAAATTAAGTAAAATACTTTTTATCACAATTTGGAAATTATAATTGAGCACATGTATTTTAGGTATTGTAATAAAACCAAGATGAATACTGGTTATTACATAAATTTGGACACAGTACAAAATCACACAAAATCAACATATTAGCATATTAGAATACAATCTGCTCTTAAAGAATTATGCCAGAGACGTAAGTCTTTCTTTTTAGCATAAAGTACATTTTATTATAAACTAGTAGCTACGCTGCCAGCCTTTGTCTGGCTTTTGAATGCACCGGAAAATGCTTGAAGGGAACACCAAACGTTAAATTTGAAAACTGCGCAGAATTTTACGCAGAACAATTTAATTAAAAAAAATTATTACATATAACAAACTTTTTACATATAACAAAATTACAATTAAATAAGCAATATCCGTTAATACAAATATTAATTACTTAATAAATAAATTAATCAACTTCCTGTTGCCTGTTCTCAACAAACGTCCAGTATCCAAGAGAAACATTATAAATAAAAACTGCACAAAATGATGGCCCTCATTTTTGTAAGTGGCTACAGTGCTTTCTTTTGTTATATGTAGAGATTATGGTAAATGGCATTTAATATATAAATTGAATATTTAAAACAACATGTGCAAGTGAGAGTTTATGAAAGACTGGTTTGCAACTATTGAACATGCTTGCAAATACACATAAGTGCTGTATAATCTGTAAATTTACACTCCCATAAGTGCTGTAAAATAAGTGTTAAATAATGCACACGAAAAAATGTTGTAAATAAATATTTTAAGTAACTCTAACATTCTCTCTTATCTTTTTACAAATGCAAGGAATTTGCTATCTCAATATGATAGCAAATTTCTTGCATTTGTAAGTTTTGTAAGGAAGTTTATTTATTATAAATTTTCACTCTACATCTCGTGTAATTAAAATAAATTTGCAACTAATGGAAAAATAATTGAATAACATAAAATAACTTGCAGATAAAGAAATATTAATTAAAGATAACCAATTTTCTGATTTAAAACTATTCAAAGTAACTTCAAATCCTTAACAATCCGTTTGACAGTTAACAGGAGGACAAATCTAGAAAACAGTGTAAGATGTCTTTGTTTTTCATAACATTATTGAAAAATAATAAATCCAAGTTAAGTAAGAAACCAAAGTAAAATACTTTTGAGCAAAGAGATTCAGTGCTACTTGATTATCTTACCAAAAGCAATGAATAATGTTTTACAATGTCTGATGTCATGATTGAACTACAAGGAAATTTGCTGGTCCTCACAGGAACAAGGGGTTCAGTGCCCTCAAACAATACGATCGTCTACTAAATAAATAGGCACCTGTTTCTTATAAATTCCGCCGGAACGATTGTAAAATCAGTAGGCAGGAAAATACGTAAACACCATCCTTTTAAAACGCGACCTTAATGCATAATCTTAAAGCTGGAATTCCTAAAAGGTTACCTTCACAGGATCACTGAACAGTACTTCAGGAAAGCTGCAAATTGTGATACTGTCAACGTTTGGAAAAGTCTTGGGTATTCTCGCAACAGATGACCTATCACTCGTCTAGTACATACATTTATGAGTCTCATATAGTCTTATTAAACAGACAGTTCTTGTCATTTGCTTACAATGAAGTCATTACATGTAGTTTTCCCACAGAATAAAATGGAGAAAAAGTATGGCATACTTCGGTTAATGTAATTTTCATTTTCAGGATTATAATACACAAAATGTATAACAGTAACTCAAATAAAATTTTAAATTCTTTGAAAATTGTGAAAAATGAAACATCTTTCTTATAAATATAAATTTAAGAAAAGGATTTCTCGAAAAAGAATATTTTTATAATTAAATTAAAGTTTGTTTTAGAAAAAAAACCGTCATTTAAACTTGTGTTTGGTTAAAGTAAATCAATTAAAACCAGAAGTGAATTTTATGTAAGATTTGCTAAAACAAATTCGTGAAAAATATAAATGTAGTAAAAGCAGAACTGAGTGTATTTTAAATGAAATAATCTTTGGTGATATAACTGTTTTACAAAATTATGTTTTCGACGTACATCATAGTTTCAATTACTTAAGCTTGCTTACTAATTCAATTATCTAGAAACTGTACTAAGAAAAGTTGTTTTTGTTATGCCTTAATTCATTTTATGAATTTATCTGGTGATGCCAGACTTTTCACACACATGCGCATCCTCATTCCTATAAATATAACATAATTCGAATATGCTTCAGTAAATATCACGGCGTATTTCTTGCATAATGACTATCATAATTCTATCCAATTGACTATTTTTTGTTTAAGATTACTTTACGAACGGGTTACTCCTTTTGGTACATACTTTCGTATTTTTCCGTCGACCGGTAAACAAAACATGTCGTCAAACAAAGCGATTTAGAACCAACGATGGATAAATGTGACGTCACAACACACGTATAAGATTTTAATTTTATTTTAGGTAGTTCTGCTTAATTCTGAATAAACTAGTTTACTTTTAAAGTACGAGAATACCCAAAACTTTAAAAAGTTTTGGGTATTCTCGTAACGGATGACCTATCACTCGTCTAGTAACCTACCGCCTGTGAACCATAATCAAAACCAGATAAATTGATAACATTACCAGATTAAACGACACGAAAAAATGTGCATAAAACAATAAATTAAAAAAACCCACGTACATACTCTTATTACATTGCCAGATTATTATATTAAATTATACAGCAATACCAGAAAAAAGCGCAGATGTGGCTGTGATAAGGAAAATATAATATTCTTTGATGATCGTCTCTGTATTTTAAACACATTAAAAAGCAGTGCAAGCGATCTTATGTGGCATCTGTTAATTGAAGCAATCCTATTCCACATTTATCAATAGTCGTCCTTTTACTACTATAATAGACATAAAAAACTTTGTTAGATATCTCTATTTTCCTTTATACAAACTCTGTCCTGATATCTCTCAATACGGCCAGAAATTTGTCTGGATTTCTAACAGATCGTCATCACAATTTAGAATGGTAATGGGGCAGTAATGAGGGTTCCCATGAAAAACCACGATATGGCCGACCAAACCACGACCGAATCCTCGCCATGTTTTCCCTCTCAGCAGCAAACAGTCTCTGTCATAGGCTTGGCACGGCGTTTGCCAGACGTAAACTCACCCAGAAATCGAGAGCAATGTGAAGCAAGACCCATCCGATCAAATGACAGTCTTCCATTTCTCTACAGTCCAGAGTTTATTACTTTAATACCACTTTCTCCTCTTATAGGTATTTTGATCACTGATGAGTGGCTTTTGAATTGCAGTTGATCCAGAAATACTCTGTTTGTAGAGTTCCTTTTATACTGTTTTGGTGCTGGCAGGGTTTGCTAGTGCGACATTCAGTTCAGTAGTCACTTTTTTCTGCTGTAGTCCTCTTATTTTTCATCACAGTCCTCTTCAATGACCATCTGTCATGATTACTCAACACACATTTTCGTCTGCATTGTGATTTAGCAAATGCGGTTTTTCCGGGTTTCTTGTATGAGTTAAAAATCTTAGATACTTTGCCTCTTGAAACACCAAACACTTCAACTATCTTGGTTATGAAAGTATCCACCAAACAAGCCCCAAAAATTTGCCTAAGTTCGAATTCATTTAGCTCTGACATGATGCACTCACAACTGCATAGATAACAGTCTCGATGGCGAATGACATTTATAACGTACTGAGGATGTTATACAGGTGGCATTAGTGAGCAAACACTTCACAGACACCAAGAGCTGTGAAGTAAACATTTCAGCAAATGTAAACATTTCAGCTCAAATATGCATTTTACGAAATGTTTCCATATTTTTGTCCAGCTCCTGTATTATTAAGGTTTTAACTGATTAATTGTGCAACTTCATGTTAACTTCCGTACATTGTTAAAGCAAATGGTACACACTAACTTTAAGTGCTCTGTTATAATAATGTCATCTTAAATGTTAACAATAATAAATCAATCACCATAAATGTTTTATGATGATTTCACTGGATTAAAGAGCTTACGATGCTTATAGTGTCAATAATCTTACCTGCCACCAGTCAGCGTCACTCGTATCAGTTACTGTAATTATACACCCAGCCCTATGAAAAGAAAAATTCTGAATAGATTTTTCACATAAAGAACAAGTAAAAAATGCATAATATACTTCACAAATATTTTCAGTTTATTTGCAAAACCCAAAATCAAGTAAAAAAAATTGCAATGCACTTTTCTGTTTAAGCACTTCTAATCCATGGAATCTTTCGCTTTCGTTTACAAAAATGACGATTAACTGAGTTACCAACATTTTTATCCTAAACTGAGAACAGTCCATATAGCATACAATTTAGTTTTTTCTTGTATTCGTAAAAATATTCTAGTCTCGTATGTTATACAATCTAGTTTCGTGTATTAGTTGTATAAAGATGGATATACTAAGATGCATTTCTATTGCTACTGACATACATTTTTAGACAGAGGATTTCAAGATGTTCGCACTTCTAGAAGATATCAGATATTATTCTCTTCCCGGCGTTTATAAAGTTTAAAAGAATTACAAATATGTATGGCGTCCATTTGGCTTTTTGTGTGACAATAGTAAAAATTTGTAAAGCAATTGCTTAGGAGTTACACATAGTGCTTTTCATAAACAGTTAATTCAAAAGAAAAAAATTAAATTCGGCAATAAAAGTGTCTGCATCTGAAACATTCAAAATTTACATAACCTTTTTAATTATATGATTTTTGTATGTGTTTATGAGTTTATTATTACAGATTGATTAGAAATTAATGTTAATATAAGAATGTGACAATATTTCTAAGGAAAAAAATGTCGTATAATCAGTCATAATAATATTGAAAATACATGAAAGAAAAATTAAAAAAGAAAAAAAAACTTACTTTAGATCAATCTCGTCGGGATGACGACTTCTGAAATTGTACAACACTACATATAAATTGGTCGGTAAGAGGCGGTGCGGTTTCTGAAACAGAAAAAGGATCTAAATATTTACTTAAATCTGTGAATTTCCCAAATTTCGCTTTTGATTTTATAAAAAACTGGGCTGGTAAATTGAAATTTATCTTCAGCAACTTACTCTGTAATGCATCTATTTTATTACACATTTATTTTATATATATTTATTATACACATCTATATTATTATGCAAAACGAAGCTACGTTGCTTCTTCTACGATTACCGCTTTAATTTATTCGTTATATTACGAAATAATAATAAAAAATGTGCATTAAAATACTTTACTTTCTTAATCTGCTCACTTTATATAAAACCCTATAAATTAATACTGTGGATTTAAAGGTCTCGTTTATTGTGCTAAAAATAACCCGTATAAAGAAAGAGTAATTTTTGAAACAATTACAGCAATTACAATTATATTTACTATTTTAATTAGTTGGATAATTCTTTAGTATTCATTGTGTTCAGTCAGTCTAGTATATCCCATTTATGATTTTATTGTTAAGCTCCATTTTTGTATCTTCTCGATGTTCTTTGAGAAAAAGTCTCCAGGTTTCATTACAAAGGTAGAGAGAAAAAAGGAATTTTAACGACCGAATTAATTATATATGTTGAATTGCTGTAGAATGTCCCCTATCATCGAATTCTGCAATACAAACGAAAGAAAAAAAAAAGACATTCGAGTTAGCATTGGTAATGCTCAATATGTATTGAAAAATAGAATAATGTATGAAATATAATATAAATATAGCTGAGAAGATCTGAATGAAAGAAATAAGCTGATCCATGTTTTATCCTTCCTATTTAATTGTTAATCAATAAGATGCTTTTATCTACTCTAAAATAAAATATTGTGTCTAAAATAATGTTAGAAAATTATCGTAAGTAAAAACACATATTTATAAAGAAAGATTCTATTTTACTCACGAAAGAGCCATACAAAAAACTTGTCTAAAACAATTTTTTTTTCACTTTATACTTTTAGTCTCTGAAGTTTTCAAATTTGATTCTTTCGCACTCGAGGACATAAAAGAATACCATGCGCATATACAGAGCGAATCAAAATTAGAGGAACAAATTTCTAGGAAAGGTAGGGTACACCTAAACGACTCGAAATCACATAGCAGTGCAGATTCAGAAGTGCAATTCTAATGAGATAGGGGCGATTGGTCGTAACTTTGAGCACTTGTTGATAAGTTGAAAGCCTAGATGTTATTGTAAATTATCGTTAACTAAAGAGTTTTCCACGCCGTATTGTTTTGTCATTCCGCATCCTTGTTTATCCTCCAGCTGATCAGAGTAGAAGGGGAAAATTCTTTTGAAATTCATTTGCATTTGAAACTGACATTTAGAGACCATTAAAAATTAGTCCTGACACTCCTGATAATGAAGATTTCCGACATTTCGTAACGTGGCGTAACGCATGGAATCTCGGGCGTTTTGAAATGGTGCATCTTCGAGGATACTGCGGAAGTCCGACGGATGTCCGGCGTATTTCAAAACGTCCGAGATTCCACGCGGTGCCCACATTGCGAAATTTAGGGCAACTTCATTATCAGGAAAGTCATTATGTATGGTCTATAAATGTCAATTAATTTATAATCACGATGCATTCATATTTTCCATCCTAATACCTTTGCGGGTGGCTGTCGACGGTTTTCCTGCGACAGCCGCCAACAAACCCTTTTGCATTAGGATTGCATTTCCGACCCTGCATTGATATGTGATTCCGTGTCGTCTAGGTGTACCCTAGAAGTTTGGTCCTCTAGTTTTGAATCACCCTGTACTGCCGTTATAAAATAAACCAAACAAAAAGTGCATTGATTTGATAAATTTATTAAAAATATAAAATCATTAAATTTCCATAAATTACATAACAAACAAATTCAAAATTCGTGCTTCGAGTTGTAAATATTCAGGTACAGGTCTACGTGCTTTTGAAATTTGGTGCCTTTAGGTGCTGCCGTCTTTCTACAATGCGACGAATTCACTCAAAGACTGCTTAAGGAATGCTGTTGTCATGACTAGCAATTTATGGAGGAAATATTCCACCATACAGAGGAAATGAGGAATATTACTATAGTAATATGTCACAGTAATTCATGCTTTATATTAGTTCGGCTTTGAATACGATTTCTATTCCTTAGATTATCGATGGTTGACAAACGTTAACTTGTGAATTTCATACTGTGAATATAATGCAGCAAGATGCGACTGCCAAGACGCCTTAAATTATCCCGTTGAAAGATATAATCAGATACGTAGCTAATACAGCAGCCACAATTCACAGAACTTTAATGAATGTTGCTGTCATCAAGTTGTTACTAATTGCAACGCGGAACGATCAGCTGCTAAGAGTAACGCTGACTTTAATCTCATACGGCTCTCCCAAGTAATTTAACTGCTAGTAATCTATCACTCCTTTACCTTTCTGTCCTGAAGAGCTTAAAAGATTTTGCTGCTTGCCACTCCTCCCCTTAAAGGCACCCGAATCTGATCACTGTGTTATTGAGAATTATGGTGCTTCTGTCAATAATGACATCTAAATAATATATCTTAGCAAACATATTTTGAAATCTGCCAGCTTAACGAAGAAAGGCATACCTTATTTGCAACTTTGCAGTTTTAAGCTCTGCTTGCTAATGTACGTCTTAGAGACTGGGCTTTTTGCTTATGAGACGCCTACGCAATTTCACGAAATAACCAATAAATTTGAATTAAAAAATTAAATTATATAGCTAAAAATGCTTAAATGTATTTTAGAAAAATTAAATATACTAATATCAAAATAAAGCAAATTGTTTTCAATTGTAACGGAGCAGAAATAATGGATTGCGGAAAACTGCATACCAAAGGAACTGCCCGAAGTTTTCACGTAAATGATTTTAGCATGTAAACAATTTAATAGCACTCAGGAAAAAGCACAAACGCAAAATGACTTTTCTAACGTCAACCAAATTTGAAATTTTACTCGAAAAAAAATCATATAGCAAAACATAAACTTTAGCCAGACAGCTGGAAATTTATTTTCCAAATGCAAATTTTGCACGAAACATGCGCAGAATTCAAGACGGAATTTCACAAATACTGAGCTTACTGACATCTGAAATTTTAGAGATCTGTCAAGAGAAAAGCAAATAAAAGATAATAACAGGTTGATTTTAGGAACAGAAAGGCTCAGAAATCAAGATTTTGAAGGAAAGATTTAAAGTATAGGAAATTTGGTTTTGTCCCCCTCCCCCCAAAAATAACCCTGTTGTCCTTTAATAGTGCTTTTCAGCGATAGTATGGGAAATGATTCACATTATTTGATATTATTTTACTGTACATATAATTAATTATTGATAATTTTAGTAAACATAGTTCTGATAGTTTGTAAAGTTTATTCTAGTTAACACGTTATTTTTATGTTAATATTTTCCTGTAACTTCTGTTTCGTCAGACAGTCTCACCAAAATGTAAATTAAGTGAGATTAAAATAGTGATGGAAATCGCCATTAAGAAAAAAGAGTTCGGCAGTGTGCCAGGGAAGCTCTTTTCTCTCCTGAATCAATCATCTGTTGTTTGAACAATCTTAATATTTCGTTTTGCAAAATAGAAATAAGAAAACTTTATTTCTATTTTCTAACAAGCAAACGAGTTTTAAATGTAATAGCAAAAACTGCAATTGAGATTACTCGTAACAGACAGGAGTGTCATTAATTGAAACAATTTGCCATTAATACCCATTATGGAATTTTTACAATTTTTGAAAGTGCGTGACTTGTCGATCACCCTGTACAAACAGATTTTTATAGATTTTTATGCAAAAATGTGACTAAAATAAATGATATTTTTTATGATCTTCGTACATCTGAAAATCTTCTGAAATCGTCTTGTGCTAATTAATTTACATTTATGCACAGTCCGTTTTCCTAGAATTCGAAATCTCACCAGTTCCTGTTCAATTTAATAGCACTCTAATGTATAAGAAAATTAATTTCTCATTTAAAGTTTTTTAAATTTGCATCCGCACATGTATAAATAATTATTTCTCTCAAATAAAAATTATTTCGTGATTAATGTTTTCGTTCACGGCGCAGAGAATATGCATTAATGTCCTCTTTCAGATCTTAATCTAGACTATAAAGGATAATATTATATGCATCACAGGATTTTTCTCATCTTTTGGTGAACAACTGAAAATATCAGATTTTGAAACAGCATTATGATTTTTATAACAGTCTGCCATTCTCGCTAAAAATAATTTTTTGAACAACGAAAAGGTGGCTTTACCGGTGAAGGACAAGGCGATGTCGAAGCAGAACTCAAGGACTTTTCATTATCATCCGGCAAATCCACGGAACTCATGCGAACGTTTTTGGCAGACAAAAGATGCCTCCGGCTACCGTGCACCGGACTCTGAGGAGCTGTAAGAGAAAATTTAAATTTCATAATTTGCTAATGGTTCATCATAGCATAAATTTTGGCAAGGGTCTCAAATTCTTCACAAATAAAACAATATATTTTTACTTCATGAGTTTCAGCTATCACAGGGAGATACGGTGAGTCCTGAGTTCTCAAATGTTATTTACGAAGTCAGCAAAATTGACATAGTATCAAACTGGAAAGGAATAAAATCAAACAAATTTATTTCAACAGCAGGAGGCTTTGAGATGCAACGAAACTTCGGTTTAAGAATTTAATTTCTTCCTAAAAGTCGTTTGTCATCCGAAATGTTCGTAAAGCGAAATTATTTTCCCCAAAGAATTTAACATAAAATGGATTGAACCATTTCTGGACCACAAGATGTTTGCTTATTTAAACTTTATAGCTGTTTTTTGTGCTTAAGTTCGTAATACAAAACCCATGGAACCATTACATTTAGGACAAAATAAAGTGAATACTATGTCAAATAGGTAAAATAGACGAAAACGGAATATAATGTAAACGCAATATAATGTTATAGTACCTATACGAAAGTGAGTGGACGTCGTAAAAGGAAAATGATGAAGAAGAGAAAAAGAAGAGACTTTATTGTTTGGATCCTCAGTCTCCTGCCGTAAAATCATCGGGTACCTGTCTGGGGCATCTTTTAACTTTTCTTTGTCTCTCAGCGCCACTCAACTATACTTGATATTTACTGCGCCTACATTTCCTCACTTAAAATTCCCGCAATATGATTTGCTGTCAGCGTTTTAAAATGTTTAAGTGAGACATGATGTTGTAGTTCTACTTCTTTATCAGCGTGATACGGTTACATAAAACTTTACATCCTATTGCATTTTGCACAGATGACCACTCGAACCACGGACCTGTGGAATACCGGCTCAGCGTGCAGAACCACTAAACTACGAAGGTACGCTAGGAAGGCGAGTTTATGTTATATACTCCTCCTTTTAAAGGGCGACTGGGTTTTTTAGTGGACCCAATCGCCAAATCCTGGGTGAGGAGAATAATAATCCAACACCCTTTTAGTTCGGGCGTCACTGTAGAGACATTAGGATTTTTTGGAAGCAGACGAGATGAAAAATTAGCAACCGCCTTCGCCGAGAATCGAACCACGGACCTCAGGAATACCAACCCAGCGTGCAGAACCACTACACCACAAAGGCACGCTAGGAAGGCGGGACAAATACCTTATAACATAAAGAAATTTCATGACTGATATAAAACAAGCTATTTTCTATATTTTGTTGAGAGATTAATTTTAAATGATGTTTCATTGAATAAAGGTAGTTTCACTTACGAATACTACATTCAATAGAGGAATGTTGCAAATAAAGTTCTAACATGTTTTGTTATTCTTCAAAACAATTTTTATTCTTTGCCTTTCTTTAAGTGTATATATGAATAAATTTATTCTTTGCCTTTCTTTAAGTGTATATATGAATAAATAACACTCACTTATAACGGAAAATCTGGAAGTCAGAAATTGGGAAATACAGAATATAGAAGGAATACTTATTTCGAAGAGAAAGAGACAATGAACCAGGCTTTTCAGTTACTAAAATAAACAAGTTGTTACGTGGGGGCAAACGAAGCGCCACTTAAAAATGATGATTGTTGAAGTGAGTTAATGGGAGATACGATAGCTTCTCTTCAGTAATGGACAGCGCTACGATGGGCGGAAGTAGACCCACTTGCCTAAGGAAATGACTCACAGGAGATAAAAGCATGGCACGAAATTGTCTCCTAATAAATATCTTAGCTTCTTATGTCAGTATTATTTGCTCTAATGATTACTAAAGCCTTTTAAGAATAGTACAACGCTCGTTTCGTGAACTTTTATTGTATTCCTTTTCGAGCCCGAATATTCACTACAGTTCCTGTTATGTTTAAATTGAAATAGAGAAACAAAAAGACCTGAAAATTAATTTATATACAATGTTGTAATCTATTTCGAGGGAAGTTAGCTTTCTCTTAATAACAATTAAACTAATAAAAATTCTGAAAGCTTCCAGATTTTATATTACGCCCAAAGGAGCGTTTGCTTCATTTACACATATATACGTTTCGAGAGCATTTCGGCTAACGCCCCTTTGGGCTAAAAATATTTAAAAGTAGCATATCTTTAGCATTTTCGATAGACAGGCTCAGACATAGTCTGGAGATAAAACTGTTTTATTCTGTACGCTGCTCGCTTTGAAATCGTTGAGGTTTTAATCAACAATTCTTTAAAGGTTTACAAAATATGAAATAGATAACAAAAAAATTCTAAATTCTAAATTCGGACTTCTAGGTGCCCATATTCGAGTAAAGGACTACGCTATTCAAAATTTGACGGCTGTAGGTGCTGTTGTAGTTGCACAATGCAAGAAACATACTTGCATTCATGTAGATTCTTCATTCTTTTAATTTCTTTGAATATAATACGGGGCGATAATATTTGGTGGCAATAGTTGGAAAAGTAATTTAACGCTTTTAATGATTCGAAACAAAATGCCGTTACGACACTAATAGCCCGTTGTGAGATTCTATAAGCTGCCAGTTTGAAACAGACGTTATTTCAATACATTCAAGAAAGACATGGGAAAAAATAATCGTAAACATTTAAGATTCAAGCGCGAGGTTTTATGGTTTAAATAATGGAAACTTTCGAAGTTCACTAAAATATTTTATACATGACAATATGGGATAAAGTAGGCTGACGTCAGACTGCAATGTTGTAGGCTATTGTGTTGCTGAACCACAAAATTTAAGTGTGGTTTTATGCTGTGTGCGGAATAAGCAGAGTCGGACAGGAATGTCAACATGGACGTCAGACAGCAAAAACAATAGAGCGAGGAAGAGTTGAGAGGATTTTTTTTCTGTCGGTTAGATTATGCTCTAACAATACCGCTGAAGAGGTGTTGTAGCATCAGGACCGAATGGTACACAACTGTTTTATTATTGGTAGGCCACGAAATCGAATTATTGTCCACTAAAATGACGCCGTAAAGAACACAACATAAGGGGACATTTAACTCTTCTGCACAACATAAATTCTCTCAACTAACACTCGGGCCCTTCTGGAAATGACTCATCAGAAATATTGTTTGGACCTTGCTTCTTATGAGTGTTTTTAATTCCCTAAAATTAAGGAACAGTTGCATGGAACGTCATTTCCAGTTTCTGATACAGCAATTACATCTTTGTCTAGTCCAGCAGTTGTTGTTGTCGTGTACGTATTACATAGAATAATGGTTGCCAAATCCTGCTCCGAAGAGAGGTTGGACTTCTATTTTCCACCCCAGTTTTGAGGGAGAGCATACCGGGGGGGGATCCAAGTGTCTTCCACCTCTCTCCACTTTCACCAGTCCACACGAGAGGGCTTTCGGCTCGCCGCATATTTAGAGTGCCGCCATGCCGCACTGGCACTATTCATTTATAATCATTATCTTCTCCGAGATTCGAACTCGGGCCCTTCAGTACCGTAGTAGGCTTCCCTAACCATTATACTGTCTGGGCGACAGTCCAGCGGTTCCCAATCCTTTTTTTTTATTTCGCATACCGTTTGATAAGATTTTGAACATAGAACTCCATTAGCCTCCCCCTAAACCTATATGATCTTCCTCTCCCCGAGCATTTACGCAATCCATCTTACTATTGTTTATTTTAATACAATAAATTTTTAGCTTTTTTGTCAGAAAACTATTATTTTGAGGATGCTTCAAAGAAATTTTTATAGAAAGGATCAGAAATGCAGTTGTCGTTATCATTTCGTTTGAAATGAAGCTTATGTTTTGACATAAAAGATCTCAAATATTTCGTTCCGAAGTGCTTCAGGACTCGATCACTTCGGAATGAAGTATTTAGCCGAAAGGGCTGTAGAGTCATTAGGATTTTTTTGGAAGCAGAAGTTATTAAAAATGAGCAATATCCTCGCAGGGACTCAAACCACAGACCTCTCGAATTCGCGTCGAGCGTGCTGACCGCTACACTACGAAGGCATGCTAAGAAGGGCAGGAGAAATACCTTATATACTCCTCCTTTTAAAGGGCGACTGGGGTTCTAGGGGGGCGAATCGCCAAATCCTGGTGGTGAAGAATCATCATTCACCACCTTTTAGTTCGGGGGCCACTGTAGAGTTATTAGGATGTTTTTGAAGCAGAAGTCATGAAAAATGAGCAGTGACCTCACCGGGACTCGAACCACGGACCTCTCGAATTCGCGTCGAGCGTACTGATCACTACACTACGACGACGGGAGAAATACCTTATAGGGCGTTAGCCCAGCAGGGTTATTAATTTCATTTTGGCATTTTGCATCGGAAAGTTTAAAAATTTGAATCACTTTTCAAACTGTTGCCACCAAATATTATGGGTATGCGTAGCACTGCTTGGGAATCGCTGATCTAATGCACTGAGAATATGAACTACCGTTTTCAATCAGAGGATGGCAAAGAGCACCAATTGTAATGAGGGACATTAAAAAATATAACGTCCATATTTCGATTTATAAAGCTTATTTACGTCGGTATAAAAACTTGAAATGTTATCTATGTAACTCGTTGCTCTGACTTTCATATTTTCTAGAAGACTAAATAGAACGAAAAGTATTATATTTCAATTATTCCATTGCTTCACTATTTTCAAAATTTTTCAGAAAAGCGATTTCGAACAAAATAAGGAAAGAATGATTTAGAAAGTATTTAAAAAGTATACCGAAAAAGGGCAGAATTTACCATTTTAAAACAGGGTACATTATGATAATAGCAGCTCTCTCGAGGGAAATACTTTATTTACAAATTTACATCATATTACTCTTATTCTATACTTTTGCTAAATTTTCATACATAGATATATAGGATGTCCATACTATAATCCCCAGATAACAAAATTAAATTGAAACAGAATTTTACGAACAACCCAGAAATAATTTATATCGATATAATCTCCACTTCAAGGAATTTCTTTTATTCTAATATTTGGGAATGGCAACAGGCAAC